GCCTGCCCTCGGGCTGAGCCCAGACCCCCTGGCACGGGGTGGGTTTGTCAGAAGCCACCATGGCGGGTGCACAGGCCCAAGGGCGGGGTCCTGCCGGGGAGTGGGCCACCCTGAGCAGGTCCGAAGCGGGCCGAGCCTCACTGCCTCCCACCTGGTGGAGGCCGAAGTCTCCAACCCAGGCCTCAATAATGGACAAGCAGATGTTTGGCAGGTCTCTGCACCCCAGGTGTCCCTCCTGCCAGCCTCAATTCCCCAGGAGCAGGGCAGGGCCACCCCGGCAGTGCCCCCCACAGCCACACGGTGGCACTGTTGGGCTCGCCCGCCCAGCCCCGGCAGCTGGCCACACTCCCCTCATGCAGCCCTGCTCCTACCATGGGGGCGGCGCCTGAGGTTGTGTCCTGGGTGGGTTGGGGCCGTCCGCTGGACGCCGTGGTGATTTTACACGGAGGTTTCGGTGTCCTCTCCACCGGCCACTGGGCGTGGCTGGATCCACCTTAGTCCACCCAGGCGTCTCCCTAACTTGGAATCCAGGTGTGGGAGAGCTGCACCTTCCTCTGTCCCAGCAGCCGCCGGGTTCCTCTTGCAAATCCATCCTCCTGCCGCCTGGGGACCAGGCTTGGGCTGTCCACCGCCCTGCCCTGAGCAGCCCAGAGGTCAGGAGGAACCAGGCGGGTTACTGGCCCGGCCAGGAGCAAGGGGAAGTAGTGACATTGCCTTACTGTGGGTGTCCACGCTCTGCCACACCGGGGGCCTGCTAGTCCCTGTGTCCACACCCACCCCCAGCCACACGAAGAGCCCTTCGGGTCTTCAAAGGAGCCGCCCAGAGTTGGGGCTTTGAAAGAGTCCCAGGGAGGGTCCTACCCCCAGGGGGGCCACGGAGGTTTCACACTGTGGCTTTCGCAGTCCCTGGGCTCAGACTGTTTAGCTGCACCGGCACCGTGCAAGGCGCCCACGGGGGAGACCAGCCCCAAGGGGCTGCACTCTGTTGCCTCCTGCACTGGCATCCTGGGTCGTGCAAAAGCTGCCATGCTTACCTGTCCAGACGCCTCTGCACCTGTCAGCCCCAGTCCCCAGGTGAGACCCAGCCCTGAGCCAAGAGCACCCGGCACTCCTTCAGGCCTCAGGCATTGACTGAGCCCGGCTCCTGGCCAGTTGCCACCCCAGGCCCTGGAAACTGGGTGACAAGACCACCCAGGAGCCACCCCTGCTGGGGAGTGGGCGGAGTCACACTGGCCATGGCCCCCCCCCCCATTCCCAGCTCAGGCAGGTGTGCGGGCAGAAAGGTACAAGAGGTGTACCTTGGGGTCTGGGCTCCAGTGGGCCCCTGACCTTCCCCAACTTGGGGGGCTTTGCCAGGTGCTGGTGGGGGTGTGTGTCTGGATTCCCCGCCACAGCTCTGACTCCCCTGGGTCTGGGAGGGGCACCTGGAAGGGTCATGCCCAGGTACAGGGATTGGGGTTCCAGGTTGGGGCAAGGGTGTGGCTTGCAGGCAAGGTGGGGCAGGTTGGTGCAGGCCTGAGGCTCCCCTGTGCCCTGCCCGCAGGTGGCATCTGTCCACGGGGCTGGTCCTTTTGTGCGGGTGATGGGCCGTTAGGGTGGGCACTATCTCTGCCCCTCAGAGCTGGAGTCCAGTCCCTGGCCTCGGTTTCACCACCAACAGCATGGAGTAGGATAAGGTCACTTCAGAGCCCACCTTTCTGGGATCTGTGGGCCAAGACCCAGATGGGGAAGGGGACAAGGGGTGAGGGCTCAGCTGTAGACTCTGAGCCCCCGGGCAAGTACAAAGGTGCAGGCCCCGACGGCCCCCAGACAACTCTGATTTTAACAGTGGGGGGGCATCTGCCTCCAGGTGGGATTCAAGCGGCTTCCTCTCCCGCTGGCTGGTGAGTGGGGGCACCTGTGCCAGGCCCCCGCCCAGCCCCTTTCAACCTGGGCTCCAGCAGGGACCTACCCAGCCCACCTGCACCCTCAGCAGAGCTGGAACACGCTCCCCCCACTGCGGCTCTGGGACCCAGGAGGGCTTGGATTACCAACCCACCCCCATTTTGCAGAGGGGGACCTGAGATTGCAAGGTGACACACCTAGGGTCGCAGCCTGTTGGTGGCCTAGCAGGGGCCCCAGCCCAGTTCTTAGCCAGGAGTCTTGCTCCGATCCTGGGGAGGGGAGGTAAGGAAGCCCACCTTCCCCGAAGGCGCGGGCTGTCCCCGCCACACAGCTGCATGGGGGAGGGGCAGCAGGGGCTCAGGGGGGCAGTGGTTCCAGGAGGCGCTGTGACCTCCTTGGGGTGTTCCCGGAGGCTGACTGAGCGTGGTGGTGTTGAGGCAGGAGGCAGGGAGGAGGCCAGGTTGCACTGTGGGTCTGGGGTCTTCGGGAAAGCGACGTCCAGCCCTAGTGTCCCTCCAACCTGCTGAGGCTCCCCAGGAGGCCGGGTCACAGCCGGGGTCATCCCCAGACCTGCAGAGCTGAAGGTGGCTGCGCGCTGGTGGCTTCGGCAGACCCCAGGGGGGGTGGAAGGGGGCGGCATCGGTGGAGCCCCGCCCGCCCCCGCTCGCCCTCTGCTCTCTCGGGGTGATTCCGGGACGGTGGGATGGGCCTGCCCTCACACCCCAGCGTCCCCTCCCCGGGGTGTGGATGGGAGGAGGGAGGAAAGGGTTGGGGGAGGAGGGAGAAGGAAGGAGGGGTGAGCGAGGGAAGGGGAGGAGGCCGGAGGGTGGTGAGAGATAGGCTCATGGGAAGGAGGGCGAGACGGGAGGGAGAGAGGCTGGGAGGAGGAGGCTGGAGGGCGATAAGAGGAGGAGGCAGGGTGGGGTCGAGGGAGGCACCAGGGTTTAGAGGCGGGAGGCAGGAGGGGCTGGTGGAGGAGGGAGGAGGCAGGAGGGTTTAGGGGAGGAGGCAGGAAGGGCGGGCGGGAGGCAGGAGGGGGGGGAGAGGCAGGAGGCGCGGGGCGGGGGGAGGCAGGAGGGGTGGGGAGAGGAGGAGGGGCGGGGCGGGAGGAGGAGGTAGGAGGGGATAAGGGAGGAGGCAGGAGGGGCGGGGCGGAGGCAAGGGGGCGGGCGGGAGGCAGGAGGGGTGGGGAGAGGAGGCCAGAGGGGGCGGGGCGGGGAGGCGAGGGAGGGTGGGAGAGGAGGCAGGAGGGGCGGCGGGAGGCAGGAGGGGTGTGGGAGGAGCAGAGGCGGGCAAGGCAGGAGGGGTGGGGGAGGAGGCAGGAGGGAGCGGGGCGGGAGGCAGGAGGGGGTGGGAGGAGGGAGGGGCAGGGGGGCGGGCGGGAGGCAGGAGGGGTGGGGGAGGGGCAGGAGGGGGACGGGGCAGGAGCAGGAGGGGTGGGAGGGAGGCATGGAGCGGGCGGGCGGGAAGGCAGGAGGAGGCGGGGCGGCCCGCCCAGGACGCGCCCCTGCTCGGCTGCCCGGCGTCGCCCGCGCCCGGCCGCAGCTGGAACCCATTACGCCCCAGCGCCTCTCGGGACGCCCGGCTAATAAGTGACCCTCTGTAAATGCTAGGAATGAGTCAAGTTTACGCGGCCGCTGCCTTCCCGCTAGCGGTGGCGCCGCGGATGCCCGGGGGAGCGCGGGGGGCGGGAGCTGCCGGGCAGGCGGCCGCGGAGGCCTTCCCGGCCTGGGAGGGGCCTGGGTGCTTCTGGCCGCCCCGCAGGGCCTCAGTTTCCCCTGTGCAAAATGTGGGGCTCGGGCACAATGGATGGCTGAGCGCCTCGCAGCCCGCCTCTCGAGGAAGACGGGAGGGTGGGGGCGGCTGGCACCTGGGTGCTTGCTTGGCGCAGAGCGCGCACCCCCTTCTCCCCGGAAAGGCCCCGCGCCATGACCGGGGCTCACTCCCCAGAGGCTCTTGCCCAGCCGCTGCCGGGGGGGAGGAGGACGGGGTGAGAGGGACAGGGGCAGGGGCAGGGTGTGCCCAGGAAGCCACCCACCCACCAGGCTGGGCCTGAGCGTCAGAGCCAGGGGCACACGGAGGGGAGGTCAGAGGGTGCAGGGAGAAGAGGGGCGGTAGGAGGCCGCAGAGTGGTCACCCCCCAGGACCTGCTGGAGGAACACCTGGGGAAGTAGAACGGGGAGCACCTGTGGCTGGGAGGACCATGAGGGGGGTCCTCCAGCTCTGCCTGGGGCCCTGGGGAGGGGTCTGGTTTGCCGCCCCGGAGAGCCTCTGAGAGTGGACCCCTCTCCCGGGACGCCCAGGCAGGCGTCAGTCACCCTCCACTGTGGGACCAGACGCCCTCCAGGCCACTGTGGACCTGCCTGCTGGGGGGGGGTCTTCCTGGGCTCCGGCTGGATTGGGGCGGACCGTGCTGCAGAGTGCTCTATCCCCTGCACGAGGGTCCTGCCCTGGGCTCCTCCTTGGCAAAATGCCACTTGGAGCCCGAGACCCCAAACACCAGTCTCAGGTAGCTGGAACCCCGGAATTTCCTGCCTACTTTCAGGCCCATTCGGGCCTCGTCCCTGGCAGCTCAGCCGCTCAGGACCTGCCTGGGAAGGCGGCCGTCCCCACCGCCCTGGCAGTCCCTCTGCCTGAGCCAGACACCCAAGGCTTTGCCCAGAGCCCAGCAGGGGTGGGAGGAGAGGGCACCCCCCCCACCCGACTGTGCATGCAGCCCTGGGGCCTGCCCTGCCCTCCCGAGGGGCCACACGTGCCCCATGGATGGGGCCTTCCTAGAGGGAGGTAGGAGGGGCACTGGCAGAGGATAGTCCCTCTGCCCCTCCCCCACATGGGCTCTGTGACCCCCCAGGTGGGGCCCAGGCCCCTCCCTTGACCCCACTGCGCAGAGGAGCTGTGCGACCTCCAGCACCAGGGGACAGGTCCCACCCTGCTTTACCCGTGGGGACCAAGGCACTCACCGTGGTGACCCGCCCAGCCTCACCTCTTCCTCTCCAGGGCACTTTGCTGCCTTGGGGTGGCCCTGTGGTAGTCCCCCTAACTCCAGTGGGTGCCTGGGGGGTCCCTGGCAGCTGTCTGGGGGCCGCCACCCCCGCTGTTTCCGGGGTGTCTTGCAGAGGCTGGAGGACGCCGTCCTGGGCCCCTCGGCCAGCAGAGAAGACCGGGCGCTGACCGTGGGCAGGGAAGGCCGGCAAGCCCCGCCCGCCCCCGTGCCCGCCCGCATCCGCGAGATCGTGGCCGGCAGCCTGGCCGAGGAGCCGCCCCAAGGTGAAGGGGTGGGGACGGCCTGGGGACCCCGGGGAGCCACCACCACCCGGGGACTGTCCTGTGGCCGGCTGGCCCCTTGCACCCGTGTCTCTGCGTGTGGAGGGAGCAGAACCACCCCTCCCCGAGGTCCTCTGGGTGCTGCCTGGACACCGAAGCCACTCGCCTGGGGCCCCAGGGGCCACGTGAGCCAGGGCTGCCTTTGCCTATGTGACACATTTGTGACCCCGAGCCTCACTTTGTTCGGTATTCCACTTTTTACTAGAGTGAAAGTCCTAAAAGTGGACACACAGAGGGCACAGACATGGCCCCCGCTGACCTTTGTCCCAAAGGCCCCCAAGAGCTGCCCCCAATTGTCACACTTTTAGGCTGAGGACCTGGCTCTTGGGGGACGCAGTCCCTCACTAGGACAGAGGCGTCAGGCTGCCTGGCCCTGCCTGTGCTCACGCCCCCTGTGCCGGGCCCGGCCCCTTCCGTTGCGAGGGTCAGCCAGGTCCCCCGCAGGACCCGGGCAGCCCACATGCATGTGCCGAGGAGAGAGCGGCCCGTTGTGCCACTGTGTCACCCGGGGACCCTGTTGCCCTGAAGCAGCAGGTGTCCCTGCTTCCCAGGACAGGGTGGGCACCAGCGTCCCGTCACCCCACGCACGCTGCCGTGGTTGGCCCGGGTCTCGGCCTGGCACGGGCCCGTGCTTGGGTTGGAGACGCCGATGCCCGTCAGCAGGAGAGGAAGGAGGGCCCAGCGCGTGACATCTACCTCCCCACGTCGGGACCCCAGGGCACAGCTGTGCCCCTCGCAGGAGACAGCTCGGCCCACGGCCCCCCACGTGGACGGCGTGCAGGGCTGGGGCTGGGGGGCCTGGTCTGGCCGCCTTAGGCTGACCCGGTGCGGTGCCTGCAGGGCTGCGGGAGCCGCCGGCCTCGGTGGCCGGGGCCCGGGAGGAGCAGGAGCTCCTGCAGCAGGAGCTGGCCCGGCTCGGGGACCTGCTGGCCCAGACCGGCGCAGAGCGGGACGAGCTCGCCAGCAGGTACCACGCGGTCAGCGAGCGGGTGAGTGTGAGCCGCTGGCGTGCGGCGGGCAGCAGGGGCAGCCCGGCCCTGGGTGAGGGGTCACCGCCTGTGGGACTGATGGCCGCACCTGTGGGGACCTGTGGGGACCAGGGAGGACTTTGTGTTGGCCGCGCACTTCCAGGCCCTGGCACCAGATGGGGGAGTGGAGGCCGGGGGTGGGGGCAGGACAGGACAGGTGCCAGGCCTCTCCCTGCCACCAGCATGTCCCCTGGGTCTCTGTCCCCCAGCTTCCGGGAGCCCTTGGGGTCCCTGGTCAGTGCTCACCCCCAGGTTGGGGGTGCCCAGCCCGGCATCAGCATGGAGCCCACACCCGCCGGTGGGAGGAGGGAAGCCAGGGGGGTTGGCCCCCCCAGACGGAGAAGTGGCTCCGCCTGTCCCCAGGCCTCCCGGACAGCCGAGGCTCAGAACTCAGACCTCGGGGACAGGCTGGGCAGCAGCGGGGGGGCTGCGCCTCTGCCCCTTGTGGCCGCAGTGTCTTCTGGACGTATCTAGTATAAAGTGTGGGGCTGGGGAGGGCCACCTCCCTTTGTTTAGATGGGGAAACCGAGGCAGAAAGGTGAAGAAACTCACTAGACCAGAACCTCTTTCCTGGGGCAAGGAGCAGGTGTGGGGTGAGGGGTGCCAGTCCATGGGGTGGGGGCTCAGGGTTTCGGCCTCTCCTGGGAAGGCCCCCATCCTCGCTGTCTCCGGAGCCCCCCATGTGGCAGGACAGAAGACCCCACTTTCCATAGAGGAAACTGAGGCACAGAGCGGGCCATGCTCACTCAGGCACACCTGAGCCAGACCTGGCCGTCCTGGCCGTGTGAACAGTGACCGGGGGCCTTGCCCTTGAGGGATCGGGAGGGCTTCCAGGATGGGGGCGTCCTCGCCCTCGAGGGCCCAGCCCCCCCCCACTTCCCGCCACCCCGTTCTGCAACAGCCCGAGCCCTGCACGGGAAACACCCGTTTCCATGGTCACCCTCACCCCCGGGGGCCCCCAGGGCAGGCCCGTGAGGGTCCACCCCACCCTGACAGCCCCCCCTGCATCCTGCAAGCTGCCCTTCCCCCATCCCTCTGCGGCTGGGCCAGGCCCAGGGGTGGGGGGATCTTCCTAGCAGGGGGTGGGAGCTGTTGGGAACAGGCCGGTGGGAATAGTGGCCGCAGAAGCCCTGGCGCACGCCAGGGAGCCGTGTGAGTCAGACCTGAACCCGGTCACCCGGCACCCGGGCAGGCCGGCTCGGCGTCCGCACTCAGCAGGTGTGAGTGCCGGGGTGGGGGGCACTGGGCCTCGCCCCAAGACGGGCGTGGCTGAGCCTGGGCTTCTCCATCCTGGGCTGCACTCCCAGCCCCCACCCCACGCAGCTCCTCCGGCCCCTTCTCCTGCTTCTGGTGGCAGCAGAGCCTGGTGCTGCCACATGTCTCCCCGTCCCCCCCGTCCTGCCATCCCATTGTCCCGCCGTCCTGCCATCCCACTGTCCCGCCGTCCCGCCATCCCACTGTCCTGCTGTCCTGCCGGGCACACGCTTCCCTGGGCCCTGGGTTCAGGCTTCAGCCCCAGTGGTGGCAGCGTGGCCCCGGGCAGTGCCCTGTGGCTCAGCTGTGGCTGCTGGGCCTGGAGCCCCCTTGCCGGACCCCCGAGGGCACAGCCTGGGTCGGTGGCCGGGCTGTTGGCTGCCCGTTGCGGTGGGCACAATCTCCATCCTTGTTGGACGGGTGCTGGGAGCAGAGGTGTGAGCACGGGCAGGAGGCCCACTCTGGGAGACCCCAGGCCCACTCACTCTCTGGGGGGCCCAAGAGTGCACCCCTGCCCTGCAGCTGGGCAACCTGGCAGCTGGGCCCCGAGCCTCAGTTTACCCGTCTGTGAGTGAACGGTGGGCGTGCTACAGTGACCCCGAGCCCTGCCTCCCACGGGGCCAGCCACACTCAGGCTGCCTCACTCTGTCCCCGACAGGACCCACCTCAGCCCCGTGAGCCCCTGCCCTCCCCTCCTCCGCCACGGGCCCTGGGCACGGGGCAGGCGTGGTGGCGGCCGTCCGGCCCCCGTGTGGAGGGCCTGAGCCTTAGCAGACCAGCCCTGCCTCTGCTGTCCCGGGCTGGGAAGACGCCCCTGCCCTGCCCCCGGGTCCAGGAGTGGCCAGACCAGAGGCTGACGCCCTCTCCAGCTGCAGGCCCGGCTGGAGACCACCGAGGCCCGGCTGCGGAGGTCGGAGCTGGAGCACAGCACACACCTGGAGGAGGCCCTCGGCCGTCTGGAGGACGCTGAGCAGAGGTGAGGCCCGGTGGGGGCAGTCAGGGCCGCGGAAACACAGCCATGGCCGAGAGCGTGGACGCCATGTGCCTGGGCTCCTTGCACCCCAACACCCGCACCCCACCCAACACCGACCCCAGCCCCAACCACACCCCAGCACCAAACACCACCAGCCAACCACCCACCAGGCCAACACCGAACCAGACACCCAAACCACCCAGCCACAACCATCGCGACCTCGACCAACCCACGCACCAGCCCGAACCACGACAGCCCCCAACCCCGACCAGCCCAACACCCACCCATGAACAACACCGACCCTGACCCCCAACCCAACAGTCACAGCCGCCCCAAAAAAAAATACACCACACCCAGCAAACACCGCGACCCTGACCAACACCCACCCAGCCCAACACCCGAACAGTCCAAACCGACCAGCCCCAACACCGACCTTGAACCCCCAACACCGACCCAGCCCAATACCACCCAGCCAACCACCACCCTGACCCCAACACCACCCATCCCCACACCGACCTGACCACCAAACCACACAGCACACGACCAGCTCAACACCCACCATGCCTCCCAACCACTGACCTACCCCAACACCCAACCCAGCAACACCGACCCAGCCCAACACCCACCCAGCCCACACCCACCCAGCCCAACA